AAATTCTGAACTTTTTTTCAAAGCAATTGTACTGCTTTAAATGCATAGAGACGAAATATCGAAGCGCGTAAGCGCCGCGTTGTCGTCTAACGCGTAAACATTGGTACGGAACCCATAGGAATGTAAACAAAATTTATACTTATTGTTAAAATCTCTATAAAATATCTAATAATTTGATGTGCATATGTCTAATGATGATTTTTGACCGCCAAATGGCATTTTTTTACTTTTTTTACTAGATCTCCGAAACCGCTAGACCTGCCTTCATGAAAATTTGTTCAATTCTTCATCTTGTTAATACAAGTTAAATGTTTTTTGAATTACTCAAATCGGACGCTTCGTTCTCTTAAAAACTGAGTTACCGATTGTGGCACTTTTTGCCCCGTATCTTCGTAACGGCTAGACCTGCCTTTGACAAAAACTAATCAGTACGTTTCCTTATCAATACGAATCGAGTGTTTTTTGAATTATTCAAATCGGTTGATCGGTGTTCCCGAAATCGTCGACGAAAATTTGTATCCGAACACACACACACACACACACACACACACACACACACACACACATACATCCATTTTTTCTAAGGTATGCCAAAATGTTCAGAAACCTCTGAAACGTAAAGATATATAAAAATTTTCATTTTCGATTTTTTTGCGTTTACTATAACTTGCCCTACGGGAAGTTAATAAAATTTCCTACTTTTGGTACATCACGTATGTCCAAATCGCTTATTACTATTTTACTTAATCTCTAACCACTTACCCTTGGTCCATCCTATCCGGCGGCGGTGGTCCCGGCATCATCCCATGATGCGGATGATGGTGCACTCCAGGGCCAGGCGGCCCTCCGTGGGCCATATGATGAGCACCCGGAGGCGGCCCTGGCGGCCCACCCATCATATGAGCGTGCGGATGATGGTGACCGCCCGGAGGACCTCCGTGATGTCCCGGAGGGCCTCCAGGGCCGCCTCCTCCTCCGTGAAAGGGCGAACCGCCGGCTGGCGAAAACTGTGGCCCACCGAAGGGCGACGGCCCGCCTCCGGATCCACCAAAGTGTGGCCCGGAACCTGGCCCTCCGCCAGGATTGAAGGGCGGACCGGAACTGCCCGGCCTGCCATTGTTCATGAAACCTCCTCCTGCACCACCTGGGGGGTAAAGGACACATTTGTAAATAAACTAGTGCATCGTGCCTTAAGGCAAATTGCTGGAACTTCCCGTACCGCAATGAAATGTTCGAGAAATTTTAAACGTTTTCAAATATATTATTACAACTTTCATTATTTTTGCTATCATGTTATATCTGAGCAAATTTATATCCAGAGCAATTAACAATCGTCATTTCATTTCGAATTCAATTTAAAAAAAAAATAGTTGCCTAATTTAAACAAAATTCAAAAAGTGCTCCCGCATAGTCACAGTCTAAACGCATTTGCAAATAATTCTGTGCGACAGTATAAGTGCTTGGCTCGGTGGCATTTTCACATTTTTCAATAGTTTTCACAAAATTCGAATTGGAAAAGTGCCCCCAGTACATAAACAGTCTAAACGCATTCGGGTAAACATTTGTACAAGAGTGGCGCTTAGACTGTGCTTAGCCTGGGTGATTTTTTAAAGTTTTAACAAAAATTTGCATTTCTATAATAAATTTACATAAAATTGGAAAAGTGCTTCAATGAAGTCACAATTTAAACACACTTGCGAAGACATTTGTACCATGATGTCACTTAGACTGTGCTTAGTCTGGGTATTTGTTTGATTTTTTAACCCAAAATTACATTTTTAAATAACATAAGAACTAGAAAAATGCTCCTGGACATGAACAGTCGAAGCGCACTTGCAAAGACATTTGTACCAGGTTGTCACTTAGACTGTGCTTAGCTTGGCGGCATTTTCACATTTTTCAATAAAATATTGGTTTTTACAAATTGAAAAATTGCTCCCGTACATAAACAGTCTAAACGCACTCGGGTAAACATTTGTACCAGAGTGGCGCTTAGACTGTGCTTAGCCTGGGTCATTTTTTGAATTTTTAATCCAAAATTGCAAAAATATTTTATGAAAAATAAAAAAATATGTAATAATTTTTTAACCTCAAAAGCAATTGTTTTGTCAACATATAAAATCCGGAATAAAAAATAAGTTATTGATGCATGAGGAGGGTTATTATAACAACTAATATTGACGCAAGGGGATGATTTAGTTGGGAAGTTAGTATATATGAAATTAAATACATTTTCCCAACCCTAGCTTTATCCGTTTCTACCAGTTTGCTCGTCTGTAGAGTCATTTCTATTGCAAAATTTTATTATTTCTCATTTTCCTTACAAAATCTTATATTCGACTATTGCTCGTCAGTAGAGTTCTTTTTCTAATGGAATCTAATTTAATTTTAATTATTTTATATTTAAGTTTTTGTCACTCCAATGAGTTTGCTCGTCAGTAAGATCCTTACTAATACAAAATTGTTTTGTTAAACTATTACTTGTCAATAATGTCCTTTCTCTTATAAAAACTTACTTTCAATTATTGCTCGTCAGTAGAGTTCTTTTTCTAACAAAATCTAACTTAATTTTATTATTTTATTGTAAATGTTTTGTCACTCAAATGTTGAACTTTGCTCGTCAGTAGAGTCCTTTTTACTACAAAATTCTTGTTGCTCGTTAGTAGAGTCATTTCTCTTAGAGAAACTTTCATTCGACTTTTGCTCGTCAGTAGAGTTCTTTTTTTCAGACATCCATTTAGTTTCTGAGGTATGCCCCGTTAAAAATGTTCAGAAACCTTCAAAACGTCGAGAAATGCAAAAAAATTGTCATTTTCAATTTTCGGCCCATTACTAGAACTACCCTTAGTGCCAAATGATCAAAACATGTATCTTTAATCTCACCTGGACTATTGAAGCTGCCGGGCCCGTTATAAGGCCCACCAGGTCCACCTCCGCCCGGCCCACCGCCTCCGTAACCACCGCTCGGCGGCCCAGGTGTACTGGACCCACTAGGGGCCGGACTGGCGGTGTACTGCGGCGTCCCACCGCCACCTCCGGGACCGCCGCCCGGTCCTCCGCCTCCGTAGCCGCCGCCGCCTCCCGGAGCAGGAGAACCGACCTGAAACGGCGGTCCTCCATAAGGCGGTTGTTGGTCATTGACGGACTGGTTGTTGCTGTTGACTTGGGACGGCGGACCGCCGCCCGGAGGCTGAACCGACGGCGGCAGTCCCACGGACGGCGGCAGACCTGCTCCGGGTGGGAGTCCTCCGCCGGGCGGCTGCTGCTGCTGCTTCCAGGCCGCCTCGACCTCCAGGGCGGACGGCAGCGAGTGCGGAGCCGCCACGCGACGCCCCAGCCCTGGGGGAGAGGGAATAAGATTAATATAACTAGCTGTAAGTGGAATTCTGTCTTAAGGCAATTAAGGCATCGTGCCTTAAGGCAAATTGCTGGAACTTCCCGTACCAAAAATTATTATTTTTTTAAAAACGATTAACATTTTTGAAAAAAAAAATTACTTTGAAAAAATAAGATTTTTGAGAAACTATAAATTGGACAAAAAATTACTTTTTTTTAAAAAAATTTAAAAAAAAAAAATTTTTTTTTTAATTTTTTTTTTTTTTTTGAAAAAAATTTTTTTTTATTTTGACATATTGTGGAAGATCTGAACTTTCTTTTCAAAGCAATCAATCGTACTGCTTTAACTGCATAGGGACAAAATATAAAGCGCGTAAGCGCCGCGTCGCTGTCTAAAGCATAAGCATTGGTACGGAACCCATAGGAATGTTAACAAAATGTATACTTATTGTTAAAATCTCTATAAAATATCTGATAATTTTATGAGCATATGTCTAATGATCATTTTTGACCGCCAAATGGCTCATTTTTTTACTTTTTCCTCCATATCTCCGAATCCGCTAGACCTACCTTCATGAAAATTTTATCGATTCTTCATCTTGTCAATACAAGTGAATTATTCAAATCGGACGCTCCGTTCTCTCAAAAACTGAGCTACCGTTTTCGACACTTTTTGCCCCGTATCTTTGGAACGGCTAGACCTGCCTTCGCCAAAAACTAATCAGCACGTCTCCTTATCAATACGAATCGAATGTTTTTTGAATTATTCAAATCGGTTGACCCGTGTTCCCGAAATCGTCGACGAAAATTTGTATCCGCACATACATACACACACGTACATACACACACACACACACGCACACACACATACATCCATTTTTTCTAAGGTATGCCAAAATGTTCAGAAACCTCTGAAACGTAAAGATATATAAAAATTTTCATTTTCGATTTTTTTGCGATTACTATAACTTGCCCTTCGGGAAGTTAATAATATATATAATAAATCAATATATATATATATATATATATATATATATATACTAACTGACCCGGCAAACGTTGTTTTGCTAAGTAAGGTATATTCTAAACTATTTCTAGAGAATCAAAAATATTAATACTTTAAGTCTGTAAGGATACGTTGTTTGAATGCTATATACAATGAGGTATTATAAAAACAATAAACCCCATTAGTTTGTCTACATTTTGTCAATACAATCGAACTGGAAGTTTTATACACTTCCTATAGAAAACATCGTATAATCGAATCCGAGTCTTTTTTGGTCTTTCGGCTATTAATTACGTTTTTCAGATTCTTTTTGGATTCTGGATTTTGTGTATAATTATAAATAATACTACTGAGCTTATACAAAATTTTCAAATTTCTCCGAAGAGAGATAGAAAATGAATTAAGTATTTATTCTTTGACCTGGTTTTTGAAAAGTTTCAAGTAACATTCGATGAATTAAAGTAAATTTAATAAAAAGTATGTATATAGAGTAGGGCGAGGTATAAAGGTCTAATAATTTGACTTTGAGTAAATATCAACTATATCACGAAAACTAAGCTAATTATATCACAACAAATAACACATTTCAAACGAACAATTATCTGACTACGTTCAGTAAAACTGTCAGCTACTTCATAATTGAAAAATGTGCTTTCTTGCTGTCTTTCAAAAATTTGTTATCTATATCTTTTTACCCTATAGGCGGAGTAACTTGAAATGACCAGGTGGCAAACAGGTTTAATGTCTTATTTGAATTTTAAAGGTATTTTACAAAATAATTACATTTTAACTAATGTCAAAAAACCCTCAATGGAAGAAAATACTTTTATTATGGATTTTCAAAGAATACCGTTTATCTCCCGATAGCAAAGTCAGGAGAATCTAGGTTATAGCTGGCTATACATATTTTTCCCTCTACTTTCAAATATTGTTGTTAAACAATGCTTAACTTTACTGGTTTTGGACACATCGGTAGCGGATCTTTTTAACCACGAACCTTCAATAATTACTATCTATTCTTCGATAAATTCTGGGAAATTATAACTGGGAAAATATTATTCGACAAAATGTCCCTTTGTATATAATAATACAAATATACTTATTATAATTATTATATTATAATTATACAAATGAGATCTTTCAGAGCATAAATATGATTTGCAAAAAAGAGTGCTACAACGCCAAAAAGTGCATTTTCTTATTAACATTTCAAAAAAGTTGACATTTTGAGTTTCTAGTAACACTTGCGGCCCGTTTACTAACTACTTACTAATAAAACTACTTACTACAATTTAATCATAATTAAATAATATTCACGCAAAACATCCTTTTAAATGTGTATAATTGTCGACACTAATAAATATCTTCATCATGAGTGTTACCAAATTATTACTAAACGTTATTCAAAATCGTTATGTGATGTATTTATTTTTACTTAAATGCCATCTTGTACAGTAGCAAATAAATTTTACTTCAATCGCGTGTGAACCTTACGAGCACTCTTTTTTTTTAAAAAATTGGGAAGCATTTGAGCCCTTGTGTGCAAAGAAATTCGATAATGTCCATATTGAGGACCACCCCTAATAAATATATTGAAATAGTTTTCCATTTCTTAAGTCGACAAATTGGTTGCTAATAATTTTATAATAATAAAATTTTATAAACTAAACTAGTTGGTTGTATGGCATCGTGCCTTAAGGCAAATTGCTGGAACTTCCCGTACCGTAATGAAATATTAAAATTATTTAATGAAAAGGAAACTAGGTTGGACACGTTGAGAAAGATTTCGTTGCACAGTAAATAATTGGGCACATCCATTATAGATTTCACAATAACATAAATAAATATTAAACCTTCATTTCTTTACATTTATATTTATATAAAATTTCGAAAATTATTATGAAATGATGCAAATAAAAAACGGATGGAATTTTGCAACTTTCAACACATGTACAAATATAAACATACACACAGATCTATGTATATATATATATATATATATATATATGTATATATATATATTTATATGTATATATATATATATATATATATATATATATATATTGAAATGAATAAAACAGCCAATGCGTCAAATGTAGAAAATTTATTTTAATTTTTTATACGTTTCGAGACTAGATGTGTCTCATCATTTAGCTAAAAGAAAATTACATTATTAAGAAAAAGTTAAAAAAAAATGAATTTATACATTGAAAAAAAAAAAAATTGAAAAAAAACAACAAATTATACACACCAGATCAGGAAAAATAATACTACGATGTATCGAACAACATATATTGCTTTTTGCGTAGTCTTTTTGCAAAAATAAAAACAAAATTGGCTCTAATCTGCTAATTACAAAGAAAAGGCTCGGCTGATCGTCGAGCAAAACCACTAAATAGTAGTCCTAATCGAGTTACTTCGAATGACATTTAAATTTGTAAAATTGGTCTAGCCGTTTTTGAGAAAAATCAATTTTTGGCACATACTTTTTTCCAGAATGACTTGTAACATAAAATCAGCAAATCAATTTTTTTGGCAAAACTTTGACTTCTCTTAGAGGAATAATAATTGTTTTGTTAGAATAATAATTTCTATATATCCAAATATCTTTTCAAAGGCAAATATTCCCAATTCGTCGTGTTAATAAGCTACACCCCTGTGTAAAATTCTCTACCTGGTTTTATTATCCTGTACTCAGGTGTGTTTAAAAATTTTGCGTCATTACCTGGACGAGGATAAAAGGGGCCTCTTTTCTCAAAATCGACGGGATAAAATACATTTTTAGATGATGGAAAAATTATTTTGACAAAATATTTTAAAATGTTCCCATAAATGTATATTACGAATAAAAATTGGATCACCTTTAACCATTGGACCTGTCTTTGAATTAAGATTAAAAAAATTCTTTAAAGAATCTTAAGAAAAATAGTAATTTTTTATTTTGTTTTATAATAAAAGAATTATATGTAATGTCGAATTTCACATCACTATTAAAATTAAAATATAAAAAGATATAAAAATATTTATTATTATTGATGATGATGACTTGCTTATAAATAAATAAATACAAAATAAAATAAATATTAAATAAATAAATGTATGAATAAATAAATTGAGCAATAGTGATATAGTAAATAAATAAATAGATACAAATATAACTAAAATTAAATAAGAAATAAACAATTAAAAAACTTAAATATTTGGTAAATAATTTTAATAAAAATATTTTTATCAATTTTGTTACATATTCATTTATTTATTTACTGTTTATTTTTTCTCTTCAACGATTTACTAATTCATATATATATATATATATAATTATTTACTACATATTTATATTTATGTTTTAATTTTTAATAATATTTAATTTATTTTTTTATCTTATTATTTAATTGTGTATTTATTTATTTTTATTGATTAATTAATTTAATTATTCATTTATAGATTTATAATTTTATTTATTTACTTTTTATTTATTTATCTATAGAATTATTTACCAATTAATTTGAGTTTTTAATTGTTTAATTAAATAATTTATAAATCATTAAATAGATAAATAGATAAAAAGTAAATAAATAGAATTATAAATTTATAAATGATTAATTATTAATTTAATTTATCCATGAAAGAAATAAATAAACAATTAAATAATAAGATACAGAAATAAATTAGTTGATAATTGAAAAAATAATATAATAATAAATTAGTAAATGGTTTAACCAATGAAAAAATAAATGAATTAATAAAAAAAAGAAAATAGACAGTAAATAAATAAATGAAAATGTGATAAATAAATTATTTACAATTTAATTTAAGTTTGTGAATTATTTATTATTTACTTAATTTTTATTTATTTTTAATTATATTTGGAACTATTTATTTAATTAGTTATTCCTCTATTGTTCAATTTATTTATTCATACATTTATTTATTTATAATTAAATGAAATAAATGAACAAATAAAATAGAACCAATAAATAAATGAATGAATAAATAAAAGTAGAGAATAATCAGCAAATAAATAATTTTGTAATAAAATACAACTTATTTATTCATTTTTTCATCACATATTTATCTATTTATTAATTTATTATATTTTTCTTTTATTCGTTTATTTATTTATTTATTTATATTTTTTTATTCATTTACTTATTTCTTATATATTTTACTTTTTATTACATATTTATTTATTTATTCGCTGACTATTTTCTACTTTTATTCATTTATTTATTTATTTATTGTTTCTATTTTTCTTTTATTTGTTTAATCAATAAATAAATATGTGATAAAAAATAAATAGATAAGTAAAAAATACAAACAAAATAAATGAACAAATAAAAGAAAAATAAACCAATAAATAAATGAATGTATAAAAGTAGAAATCGGTAAATAAATAAATAAATATGTAATAAAACATTAAAAAAATAAGTAAATAATTAAAAAGATATAAATAAATAAATAAACAAATAGATAAAAATCAAAAAAAATATGATAAAAAATTAATAAATAAGCAGATAGATAAATAAATAAATAAATCAATAAATAAAATAATACAAATAAATAAATGAACAAATAAATAAATAAATGTGTAATAAAAAATGTTAATAAATAAATGAATAAATATAAGAAAAATAGAAACAATAAATAAATACATGATAAAAAAATCATGTAAGCCTATTAATAGCTAAATATATCAATAAATAAAAAAACGAATAAGTAAATGAACAAATTTATTTAATTAAACAACAACAAAAAATAGAACCAATAAAGAAATAAATAAATAAATAAAAGTAGAAAATAATCAGTAAATAAATAACTATTGAAAAAATTCCAAAAATGTACTTACATAAATAAAAAATATGAATAAATAAAAATATAAATGAGATAAAAAATTAATAAATTGGTTGCATACAAATAGAAAATAAATCGATAAATAAATATGTTATAAAAAATCAATAAATAAGTTTTTAAATAGATAAATAAATCAATAAATAAAAAATACAAATAAAAATAAATCATTGAACAAATATAAAAATAAATAAATATAAAAATGAATAAATAAATACATAAATAAATAAAAATAACCTCTCAAAATAAATCTCTATAAAAAAGACAAATTTAAATTTAAATGAATTAATTAGGTAATTAATATAAGTAATAAATAAATATGCACAAATCCAATACCGAAAGTAATGCAGGGGCTAGAGAGACAATTGTACACAATCTTTGAAAAATATTTATTATTTTTTTTATTATTATTAATTATTATTTCTACCAAAAACCAATTCCTACCATTGCACTTGGTCTTCCGCTGGGCCCCTCGGCCCGGCCTCATTTTTCCTTCTGATTGCGTCAAAAAATCACAAAGTCACCACCTGCTGCCGCTGCCGCTGCTTTGTCGCCACCGTCGCCCTCGTCTCCTGCTCCGAAACGACAACGAACGATAATAAACGACAATCCGACGAAAACACCACTAATAATACTAATTTTGATCGAACTATCGATTTTGTCAGCACTACTATTATATATCGATTTTATTCTGTTAGTCTCTACGACCGTGACACTATTACACATCGCACAAGGAGGGTTTTATGTTTCGTACAACTTTGGACGCCACTGGAATAGATAGAGAGAGAAAAATGTATAGGATTGATATAAGAAAGAAAGAGAGAGTGAGTGCGTATACACGGACGCTGATTGGGTGCTAGAGGAGAACGATTGGCCCACTGTAGTCACGTGGTTTAGTAGAAATTGGCCCAAGAGTTGGCCCACTGTACTATATGTAGTTCAATAGAAATTTGTTCGCTGATTGAATATGAATATATTTATTGTTTCACTGTACTTTCTGGTTAAATATAAATTAGCCCTATGGGCAAATTCGATTTAGCCCACTGTACTATATATAGTATAAAACTAGAAGTACGTTTGCTACATTAAACGTAATTGTATATAAATTATGTACTGAAATTCACTGTATTTTATCTAATTAAACGCAAATTTAATTATAATTTATATCTAGTCAAAAACAAATTGGCCCACTGTACTTTATACGTCCAAATAAACCAACACACCAACTGTAACATATCTTGTTATTTAAATAAGAATTAGCCCACTGTACTATATACGTCTCATTGAACCCAAATTAAACCACTGTACTATATTTATTGTTTCACTGTACTTTCGGGTTAAATATAAGCTAGTTCTTGTGAATGAATTCGATTTAGCCCACTGTACTATATATAGTTAAAAATAAAAGCTCGCTCACTATATTAAACGTGATTGTATATAAATATGTACTTTATTTTTGCCCACTGTACTATATGTGATTCGACACATTTTAAATAACAGCGTTATATATAGTCAGAGAGGAATTGGCCCACTGTACTATATCTAGTTATTAAAATACAAACTAGTCCACTGTACTATACAAGTCCAAATAAACCCGAATTAACTAACTGTACCACAACTAGTTATTTAAATACGAATTAACCCTATACTATATATTAATTGTTAATACAAACCGGCCTACTGTAAAATATCTAGATATTTAAAACCGACTTGGCCCACTGTAGTATATATAGTTATTAAAATACGAACTGGCCCACTGTACTATATCTAGTTATTAAAATATAAATTGGTCCACTGTACTATATCTGGTTATTTAAATACGAACCGGCCTACTGTACTCTACACGTCCAAATAAACCCAAATTAATCTACTGTAATATATCTAGTTATTTAAATACGAACCGGCCCACTGTACTGTAAATAGTATAAAACCAGAAGCACTTTTGCTGCATTAAACGTAATTTTATATAAATATGTACAATTTCACTGTACTTTATTTAGTTAAATGCAAATTGGCCCACTGTACTATATGTGGTTCAACACGATTTAAAACCACAGCGTTACATCGAGTCAAAAACGAATTGGCCCACTGTACTATAAATATACAATTGAACCCAAATAAACCAACCCACCAACAGTATAATATCTAGTTATTTAAACACAAACTGGCCCCCTGCACTATATCTAGTTATATAAATACAAACTGGCCCACTGTACTATATACGTCCAAATAAACCCAAATTAACTCACTGTACTAAATCTGGTTATATAAAAAACAAACCCGTCCACTGTACTAGTCATCAAAATCGTATAGTCATTAAAATATGAACTGGCCCACTGTACAAATCTGAATATTTAAACACGAACTGGCCCAGTGTACCGTAAATATCCAATTGAATTCAAATTAACACACTATACTATATCTAGTTATATAAATACAACTGGCCCACTGCCCAAATTAATCCACTTTACTATTTGGCCCACTATAATATATTTAATTATTTAAATACGTACTGGCCCACTGTACTATACACGTCCCAATAAACCCAAATAAACCAATTGTACTATATCTAGTCATTTAAATACAAATCGGCCCGCTGTACTGTAACTAGTATAAAACTAGAAGCACTTTTGCTGCATTAAACGTAAATTTATATAAATATGTACAATTTCACCGTACTTTATCTTGTTAAATGCGAATTGGTCCACTGTACTATATGTGGTTCAACACGATTTAAACCACACCGTTATTATATTTAGTCAAAAACGAATTGGCCCACTGTACTATAAACGTCCAAATAAACCCAAATTAAACAATTGTACTACATCTAGTTATTGAAATATAAATTGGCCCACTGTACTATATTTAAATATTGAAATACGAACTGGCCCACTGTACTATATCTAGCTATTTAAATACAAATCGGCCCACTGTACTAAATCTAGTTATCTCAATACAAATTGGCCGCTGCCCTTATCTCTTTATATTTAAAATACAAACTGGCCCACTGTACTATATCTCTAGTTATTTAAATTCGGGCCCACTGTACTATACATAGAAAAAAAGAAATTTGGTCTAATTTAAAACACTATAACAAACTGTACTTTTACCATTTCTAGTAAAAAATGTACGATTTAATTCATTTCTCTTATATTTGGTACAAATTGGCCGACTATACTATATATAGTTAACGCTATATCTAGCTAACAACAAATTGGCCCACTGTACTATATATAGAAAGAAAAAAAAATCGTCTAATTTAAACGCTATAGCCCACTGTAATTTTACTATTTTCAGTGAAAATGTGGGTTTAAACCAATTCTATTGCATTTGGCACGAATCGGCCCACTGTACTATAATAGTGAACGCTATATCCAGTTAAGAACAAATTGGCCCACTGTAATATATTTAGTTATTAAAATACAAATCGGCCCACTGTACTTTATATAGAAGAAAAAAAATTCGTTTAATTTAAACATTGTAATTTACTATTTCTAGTACAAATTTACAATTTAATAAATTCTCTTATATTTGGTACGAATTGGCCTACTATCTATTATATAGTTAACGTTACATCCAGTTAAAAACAAATTGGCCCACTGTATTATATATAAATAAAAATCTGTTCAGTCTCTTTGAAGAGTCTTTTGAGACTCTAAGAACATTTTTAATTTTTATAACAATATTTTTAGATTTTGTAAGACCATTTTAGACTTTCTAGGAACATTTGAGACGTTCTAAGAACATCTCGAGACTTTCTAAGAACATTTTGATACTCTAAGAACTTGTTTACATGAGTAAAAACTAGATAAAATTTACTAAAATTTAGTAAAATTTGTTATATACACTTGTATATTCAAATTTTGAATAAATCGTGGTTGAATTACAAACTTTAGTAATTCGATGATTTGCCAGGACATTTCTTTATTTTTTTTAAAATAACTTTTAATTTTCCTTTGGGAGATTTATAAGAATATTTTAGATTTTCTAAGAAACATTTTGAGACTCTAAGAACATTTTTAGTTTTATAAGAATATTTTCAGATTTTTTCTAAGAACATTTTGTGACTCTTTGTCTTTCAGACTTAGATTTTATAAGAACATTTCGAGATTTTCTAAGAACATTTCAGATTTTCTAAGAACATTTTGAGACTCTAAGAA